GCTGAAGGGGGCCCTGCAGCCAGATATCAAGGCAGCCTGGTGGCTTCCTCAGCTGCATCTCGGAAGTGATGGGTCTAACGGAAGGAAGAGGGACTGGCGGGGCACAGTTTCCCATCTGGTCTGCCCATCCCTTCTTCCAAACAGGACCTGCTGAACATCTTTGCCTCCCTTCTCACCCTGCATAATTTGTGGTTATGTTGCTGCATGAGGTCTTGGCTATGTTCCAGCTGTGCACAGAATGCTGTTTTTCTTAATTTCTTATCACACATGTATGGGTGGTTGTGGGCATTGGACTGGATCTGGTTTGGGACAGGATGAAGTGTGCAAACAAAGTCCCTGGTTAGTTAAAATCCCCTTAAAGGAGCCGAGGGTGAAGGCATGATCAGGCCAAGCTCAAGTGCCAGAGACCCAAAGTGATCCCCAGCTGCCAGGGAGCCACATCGTGTCTGCACACCTCCAAGGGCTCTCCTGGGCGATCATTCCAAGGACCTGATTCAGAACATGGCAGGTTGGCACTGACCCCTTCTTGTGCTCTGAATCCATCTCCCAATGCCTGGGCCAGGGATACTGCTGTTAGAGCCAGCAGACCGATGTCTTTTATCCCCACCCATTGGGACTCCCGCTCCAAGCAGCGGCAGGAGCACCGGGAGCGTGCAGAGACAGCATACCGGCTTTCAAGAATCTCTCTTCTGGCAAGATGTTAAAAGAGGGCGATGGAAAGAGCAAATTGACTTTGAAGAGCAAATTGTAATATGGCAAATCCAGCTGCCATTGGGTGAACTGGTTGTCTAATGAAATAAAAAAAGCCAGGGTGATGCCTGTAGGACAGACTGAGATGTGGTCAACATCGTTTGCTGGATAGCCTAGCGGGGAGGGATTGTGGAATTAATAACAACAAAAGTGGTGAAGGGTCTCAGTTCTCCAACTGTACTCTAAAAGTATATGAGATTGGCTGATCATTTATATAATTTTAGTTGATTAGCAACAATTAAGTTAAACACATGGCAATGATTATGTCTCTGTCTCTTTATTTTCAGAATTTCTCATCACTAGCAGGTGACTTTGTGGCAGATAGTTTTTCACCCAGATCTGGTGTGAACAAGCTGCATCAGACAATGTCATCGTCAGATACATCTCCAGACTCTAAATGTCCAATCTGCCTGGACTGGTTTGAAAACACAGCTTATTTGGACCATTGTTGGCATCAATTCTGTTTCCAGTGTGTGCAGGAGTGGTCCAAAACCAAAGCAGAATGCCCTCTCTGCAAACAGCCTTTTCATTCCATTGTACATAATATGAGGTCTGAAGATGATTTTCAGGTTTACACAGTCAGGCCTTCAGAAATAGACTCAATTGCTAATCCTGATGGAAGGTGATTCCGTTACCGGACAACTTTGACAAGGGAACGCCGTGCATCTGGTCATCCTGGAAGAGGCTCCTCTTCTCGAAGGACAGCACCTCCACCTGATAATGGGATTTTGTTTGAAGATGGAGAGAGCTACAGAGATGTATCAGCTGAATTTTTTCGTAGAAATCCTGCCTGTCTTCACAGGCTGGTCCCGTGGCTGAAACGGGAATTCGCAGTCCTGTTCGGTGCTCATGGGTCTCTAGTCAATATTGTACAACATATCATCCTGAATAACATGACAAGGTACGACCTAGAGAGCCCAGCATTTGCTGATGACTTGAAGCCTTTTTTACTCCATTACACAGAACACATTTTACATGAATTTATCAGTTATGTCAGAAGCTCTTTTAACACAGAGGCATATGATCAGCATGCAAATTATGACTGTCCAGCTCCATCACGTGAAGAAGGCAGCCATTCTGAGTCCTCCATTATTACAATCTCTCCAGAAGATGTGGGTTCCCAGCAAGCAGAACATAATGCCTTCACAACTGATATCGGCCAGGCCCCTTGGGATGATGAAACACCCGGTACATCTTACTTGAGCTCCGAGCAGGTCTGTGCCGCTGTGTCTACTTTGGACACTTCAGAAAGC